AAAATAAAATGTGAATTTAACCTTGACCAGTAGTACAATGCTTACCCCACACTCCATGGCTTCAGTGATAGACCTTTTACACAACCTTCCATGTGTGACATTAAAAACTGTTTTTTTTTCCTCCATGAAGCATTTAACAAATCAGTTTGTAAGACAGAAATGAATGAATCTGATAAGTTACAATAAAGCGTGAGTGAAAATAAATGGGCTTTCATGCTTTTTTTTTCTCCCCCGTCTCATTCTTGTTGATAAAGTCCAAATTAAGAATTAATACTGCATGGTTTTTCTGCAGTGGTTACATCTTTCATGCAAGCCTTTGTCAAAGAGTGCACATGGATGATTTTAAAATGGTACAAAATTATTAGATTTTTATTCTATCATAATGTTTTTTAGAAATGCAGCAATTTGTTGATTTGGAAAGCAGTTACTGTGTGTCCTGACCATCCCAGAGGCACGAAAGAAAAACTAATTGTGACTCTTTTGTCAGCCGTAGAAGAAGACTCGAAACATTCTGCACATCTTATTATCCTTTACAATTTTTTAAAGATCTGTTTATTCTTTAACCAAATTTCACCATCTAGCTGCTTCAAAACAACACTTTTTAAAAGTGTATATAGAAGAAAAAACTTATTTAATCACTAAAACAAGAATAAACACACACACACAGATGACTTTCTTACATATCTCGCCAAGGGTTATGGATGCTGGTAACTGTTGCTATGTATTCAAGCCTGGTGATTGGTGATGTGTCAAAGCTGCTTGCCAAATAGTTGATCACTGCAGCGGCCGGCACTCGGGGAGCAGAACACAGAAGAGAACAGAGCGGTATCCAGATGGTCTATGGGCTTAGACTACCCAGAGCGCTTTGAGAGATTGGATTGATTTGCCCTCCGTGATATCAGTGAACACAGCCCAACACATGAGGGGGGCTTCAGCAAGGGGTGACATAAATACAGGCTCAAAAGCAATACACAAAATGTACACTTTCTGTCCTGAAGCGTTGGCTACAAATAAGTCATCTTTTGCAGAGATTCGGTAATTAGAGCATGGGTCTGCTTTCTCCTCCCTGTGACCCTTGAGCCTGTGTGTAAAGCGCGCGAATTTGGGAGAAACAGAAACCGAGAATCCCTATCTCTCTCCACAGGACCGGAGATCAAACAGACTGTGTGAAATATAGAGCAGCAATAATTAGCAGCTGTTACAGCATCAAACCTTTCTATCGCTACCTCTCCCTCTCTGACACGCACACTCACTATTACCCCATTCTTTCCCAGAGTTTAATTTGGAGACATTCAAATGTGCTGCAACTTCTGCGTCCTCAAATGCTGATAATCACAGAGATCATATAAAAGCAAACTGCTCCAGTTCATAACTCCGACTCTCTAATGGGGAAATCCATGAAAACAGTCGCACACAAAAGAACCTAAGAGGTGGAGATTGAACGCTAAACACAGCGTGTCATTTCAAAAGCCTATTTATCCATGAATAGCGAGGCAATAGCGGAATCTTCACATTATTATATCACTAGATTTTTAGGCTCCCACGCACACACTTATCCAAACTGGGGTCACATGAAAATTAGCAATCGCAATATCACTGTACTTTCTGTCAGTGACTGATTAAACCATTACCTAAGCCCCAAGATTCGCCCCCTGGTGTGTACATGTTTTGCTGCTGTGTGAGCACACACACACACACACACACACTCAGGAGTGTGAGTTGATTTATGATGGAGAGGAAGCGGTTTCTTCAGTCAATCGCTTCTGAGAATTAATGAGGAATAAAAACTAAAGCTGGCACTCGGTCAAAATACACCAGCAGTCACAGAGAGCTCACTGCTGAGGCAGGGTCGCCTCTATTGGCACCGCATTTGATTGTTAGATTGCGGGTAGGCTATAGATTGCACTGAGCAAAAAGAGCCCCTTACGGCTACTGAAATGCTCCATCGACCTAAATTGCAGTGTTGTATAAATGAGACACTTCCCCGTCTCTTGCTCGCTTCCTTTCTTTCCCTTTTTTGCGATCTCGCCTCCTGCCCTTCTCTTTGATTCAACCAGGTCAGTGGGGCTGCCTTCAGCTCCCCCGGCTGTTCTCTGACTGTGCAGAAGGAAAGGCACCATTACACTTTGTCATCTCAATTCCCTTCATTCAGACCATATCTTTTACATGTTTGAATGCTGTTGTACTGCACACACCTTTGCAGCGCAATGTGCTTTTGTGGTGTTATTATTACAGCGCCCTTCCTATTCCTCTTCCCCCCACAGTGACATTCATTAAAAGTTTTCCTTGTGCTGTAAAAGAGACTGTAATACAGTTTCTCTCCAATTTTCCCTCTTTTTACTGGATCTCTGTACACTCCTAGGTGTAGGTGTTATACTAACAGCAAGGGTATTATTCTAACTGTTTTATTCAACCACCAAATGACACTGAAGCAAAAAGGAAAATAATGTAAAAAAGAAGAAGAAGAGGGTAGAAATTCTCTTTTTCGTGAGTTGAATAGCGAGATGATCCTTTAATCACATATTTTATCATATAGGACTCTGAATTTTCTGTGATTTTGATGCATCACCTTGTTAGCTTTTGTGAGCTTTTGAACTTCCATAAAAGAGTACACTTCAAAGAGTAATCTGTCACCACTGATGCATAAGAGATACTGCTCAGACAGGTGTAATATATGGAAAGCTAAGCGGATCCAGGCTGTTTAGAGCTTTTACATCAAAAACGTTGCATTACTGTGTATAATTCTGAACCACGTAAAGCCAATTTATCATAGAGATTGCTAGTCTATTTTTTTGTGTTATTTCAATTATTTACTTTTTGCTTGGCTTTCTCGTTGAGTCAAAACTTGTTTGCGTAAGACTTGTATTATGTGGAAATGACTATGTGAATTTTGGTCTACAATGGATTTAAGGATTAGGGAAGGTGGTGGGCTAAGCGATACTCTAACATGTGGCACAGTCCCCCAAGGACATGACACTGTCAGCACATTGCTTACACTCATCTGCACACATACACACACACATATACACAGAGAGGTATAATAGGGTATAATTTAGGGGGCTGTAATAGTGAGATGTGATGCTCGGTGGTAAGACAGCATGCCTAATTCCTCGGTTATGTTATCTCTGAGAGACAGATGTTCCCACCAAAGATTACTATGCACACACACACAAACTGCGAGCGTGCAGAGATGCACAAACCCATTCAATCCTCAGACAATAGCAGCAGTGGGAAGAGTCTAAAATAGCCATATTGACCAAAAACACAGATCAATGATGAAGATGACTTTTCTGAGAGTTATTTACGAGAGTTTCTCCAGAAAACTAATGAGGAAAAAAAACCCTCAAAGTTTTCCCTCAACAAATCTTACATTTAAGAGTCAAATAAATCATAACGGACATAACCTTGCGCCTCACTGAATATTTTAATGATCACACAAGTCCCACAAAGCTGTGGGGTTTGTGTGTCAATTCATCAGCGGGGTTTTCCAGGCCGTGCACACAGTTCATCTATTAGGAAACTGTTCTATAGGCGAAATGGTTTCACAGCAGAGGATAAACGTCAATGTATTCATGGCTGTCAGGAAAACCCTTTGGTTAGATAACATCACTTGCATTACGTTGTTAATTCACAATTTGGATGCACAGCCACAGCGTTAAGAACATGATGGGGATGAAGGACGCACAGTTCCTGTCAATCCTAAAGTCAGTCGAGACGATTTTGTCCGATCGTCTTTGTCCTGCTTATCTGATTTTCTGTCGCCTCCTAGGCTCTTGCTTAGCATCCCAGAATATCCATGAGCCTCTCCAGCATCCCGAGTGCCCAAGACTCAAAAAGAGCAAAAAAACAGCAGCTTTGAAAGGGTGAACAAATTGCTTGTATACCCTAAACCAAATATGAGTGCTTAAGCGTGACTTCAAGGGGACAGTTTACATAAATGAACATGTGAATGTGCGTATAAACAGTCAAACTACCTCTCAAACTCTTTTCTCCTCTGAGCTTTGATCCCCCTCCTCCTGCTTCCGTTTAACTGGTTTCAGCATTAAGTCTCCAGATTCTGATAATTTCCCCCTTAATCCCTTCAGAGGAGCACCCTGCTTAACTCTCTAATTAAGTCAACGACACATTCACCAGCACAGGATAAACAGCACACGCACACAGCTAGGAGTATCTAGCGATCTGATGCACGGACAACTGGTGGTTCCTGGATTGGGGAGTTTGTGTGTGTGTGAGAGAGAGAGAATGAGTGTTTGTGTGACTGTATTTCAATGATTAAGTCCCAATCAGGAGGTTGTTATGACAACACATGCATTTTTAAGCTGTTAATCCAGGATTATTCTCCCCTCCGCTCATCTCATTACCGTCGATTATTAAATAAATTTAAAAAAAAAGAAAGAAAGAAAAAAACACACATACAAATGCACACAGACACACACCCTAATTATGGACTGGTTTCTCTGGAGATTGGAGACCTTTGCACTGTGTGTTCAAAGACATTTTTGCACACAGGTAAAAACAACTTACTGCATCTCAGACATTACCTATATACACAATGAAGCGATCACACTTCATAGATAAAAAGGCATGGCCATATATTAATAGAAGTATGATTATTACTGTATTTTTGGCACACTCAGAGACCAATTCTGGCCTTTCAGAGAGGAATTTCCAGCCAGAGCTGGAAAGAAAGCAAGCAAACAGTGAGTGTCCTTTACCGGTGATTGAATGTGTGTCCTTGTGTAGTATCTGCACACCCCTCTCTCAGCGAGAGAAAGTATTCCTGCGGTGCTGAAGCTGATGCACAGGTGAGAGAATGGCCAAGGATTTTGAGATCACCTAAGGCTTTGTGCCGACTATGGCCCACTCACACTAGGTCAGCTCAGAATAACCAGAAAGGGCTGACCGCCAGTGCTCACTCGCCCCTGGAGTCATTAATCACACCACACCACAAATGAGCCGCATGGACGGACACACACACACGCACAGAAAAAAAACACACACACAGTGGAGCTTGTTTTAATTATAAAAGGCAAATGCTAGATGACAGCATCGCTCCAGGTAGTCATTCCTCAAGGCCTGCACTGGTACATTACCATGTACCAAACATCACAGACATTGAATATTTCTGAGCAAAGCCCAGTCCACAAATAACAACACATCAGATCACATTAAGCTACGATAATCTGCTGCATATACAAATACACACACAGCATTATATCTGTAACTTTTCTCCTGAGCTGTATTTTATGCTCCTTAAACACTAACGCGCACTATCAACTCACACTATCTGAACCCCCGCATTCCCAAACAGACCTCTCAGCTTGCAGTCGGGTCACTATCGGGATCGGGATCTCAGATAACGTTCCCATTTACCGGTTATGAAATTCTTCAAAGGGGCCGTGCAGCAGCGAAAGCCTGTGGTGTGTCATGTTTAACAGGCATGGTGCATGGAGAAATACTCCGTGGAGGTTGTGCGTTGGTGAATGTCTGTCGCATGGAGCAGTCCCTCCTGCTAAAGGCATCTAGGGAGAAAAACTCGACACGCACCAAAAATATATCAAAGCGCAAAAGTCACAGCTCATACACCTACATAGAGACACGCATTCTCTATGCTAAAAAAATCTAATCAAACAGATGCTTAAAACTGAGGCAGCTAAGAGACGCCGACTGACTGCCTGCATGTTTGAAAGGCAACAAAAGGATAATACGATGTTGCAGTGTGGAAAAACTCTATTCAAATTTTTCATACATTAGCTTTCAAACATGTCATCATCTAGTTAACTGCCATGTTGTGAATGTTTCACACTTTGGGTTTTTCTGCTGTTGATAAAACTGTTCGAGCGACATAATTATCTTGCCACACACATGCACGCACGCACACAGTCACCCACTCAGATTTCAAAGCACTCTCTTCACCTTGCTGCACTCGGCTCTAAAGAAAGTGAAAAGCTTCTGTCCGTTATTGAGGTACGACAAAACATAACCCTGCCTGAGCATTTAAAAGCTAGTTTCTCCTTTCTGAAAGGGCTCAAGTCACTTTCAACAGTCAAGCTCAGAGAATCGCTTTCTGCATCAGGTAGTCAAATTCTCTTTTATGTCTTGTTGAATTAAATGAGCTCTAAAGCAGGAGAATGAAATGAAATGCACATAAACTTAACATAACAGAGCTGCATGTAAAGTTGGCATTTCGAGTAACTCTTACATGAGATGGCTCACTCTGCACTCTCAGAGGGGAACGCTCCTGCTGTCGTACTGAGGAAGAGCTGAAGTAATTAACATGCTCCCTTTGTGTTGTTGTTTGTATGTGTCGGGTATGTTTGCTTGTAGAAACCGAGCGTGGGTGCGCATAAGAGGTAAAAAAGCCTTCAAAGGTGCTCAGCTTCTGCTGCTGCTGAGATGTAAAGCTTTAAAACTCATTTCTTAATAAACTTCTGTCAAGGAGATTAAGGGAAGCATTACTCAAGTACGGACTTATTTCAGTGAAAGCATTAAACAACTGGCTGAAAGAGATTGAGGAGACTGCTGCTTTTAATGCCGCTCTTTTGTGCATATCAGTGGATTTCAGATTTAATCGTTGATAAGCAGGTGGAAGAGGAAAACCATTTAAAAAAAGGCACCTTTGAGATCTCATGAACTACAGAGAGACATGATGGGAGAAAAGTGAAATCACAAAATACAAGCAGGGAGGTGCGGTCAGTGTTCCATGGGTGCTTCTGCATCCTCCTCTTCATCATCATCACTACAGGGTTCAAAATCTTCATCCAAGGCTGGATCTGCATCCTCTCCCTCCACCTCTCCCCCCAGCTCGCCCAGAAGCTGCTCCACGTGCTCCAACATCGGCTGGTCGTCACATCGAAGCTTATTGTACAGCTGGCAGAGCGAAAAAGACAAAAAACAAAGAATGATGCAAGCGTATAATAGAGTCGTGGGTACACTGGAAACCATGAAAATGTTGACTAGAACGTAGGTTATAAAGCAGAGATCCAAACAGAAAGTGCAAAATTATACTGTAGAGGCAACTGAAGTAATGATATGGTGAGTGAAAGGCTCTCAGCAGAAGCTTGGTCACTACCACATTCATAAGCAGGAGATTTGAGTTGAGGGAAGTAAGCAGCCCTCAGGTTTTAAGTCTCTAAGTGCCGGTTAGGACATTTGAAATATCCAAAATCATCTGCATTCTGTCAGCACAGCAGCCCACAAAACGCTGGTAAACAGTTTTTGTCTTTATTTTGGCAAATCAGCACATTTGATGCACAATCCAGCCGAGGAGGCAGAAAGACCATTTATCTTCCTCTTTCAACATGCATGCACACACAGACACGGAGAAATGTATCCTGAATCGAAGCGCATATGGTTGTGTTATAATCAGAGTTACCCCAGTGAAACACGCTGTGAGAAAGCAAGATAGAAAACTCCCGTTCTCTAAGCAGCTAGTAGATTTATCTCTGGTAAAATACTCTGCTTGTGTGTAATTGCTGAACTAATAATGGAGCTGGGTGATAAAACTACTCGGGCTACCAATAAGGACAGCGAGCACAAGACTACGCTTCTGTGTGCAAATACATTACATAAACACGGGAGAGAGGATGCAGCGATTCATATTTTTGCTGCTCTTTCCAGAAACAAAACTAGAGAGGGGGGAAAAGGCAGTTGGTGGATTTATATAATCTAAGAATATAACTCTATTTCGTCTACCAAATGCAGTTAAAACCAAGCACACAGTGTTTTATGCTCACGGACAATCAGCAGCTGAGTGCCATCATTCTTACTAAAAGTGTAACAAGGCCAGGAGAGTGAAGAAGAGTGTGTGTGACTGCTTTGCCCCAGGACCAGTCTCTAAGCAACAGCAGGTCCTGACAGGAGACATGCAGTCCCATGGGAACTCATTTGGAGCGTTAGAATGTGCAGAGTGTGTGTGTGTGTGTGTGTGTGTGTGTGTGTGTGTGTGTGTGTGTGTGTGTGTGTGTGTGTACTTAAGTGGATGCTGTCTCTGCAGGTTGGAGCTCCAAGGAGGTGGAGTGTGACCTAGGTCCAGGCACAGGGTCTGATGCAGAGGGGATTTGACCCTCTCAGACTCTTTAGAGCACCACACACACACACACACACACACACACACACACACACACACACACACACACACACACACACACACACACACACACACACACACACACACACACACACACACACACATTCTGCCAGTGTCACTCTGAAATGCCTAGAGATGTTTTTCTACACCAAACAAAGTTGGGTTGGGTTTATACTAGATTTGCCTCAATACCCAGAATAATTGCACACTGCAGCCTTGGGTAATAAGTAGCGGGCAGTGGATGTCTTTCAAAAAGGAAATAATCTAGCAGATACAGTGAACATCTGCAAAGGTGCTCTATGTTCTACCATACTGAGCGTTACTTGGAAATTGTATTTATATGTAGATATACGTACTACAAATCAATAGCACATTGTGTCTGCTGGACAGGGTGCGATTATTCAACGTGATACTTTCAGCTAGCTAAACAAACCAGAGCTATTCTTTACACATTCCGCAATGAGTGCTGCTGAGATCAGCACTGCCGTCGCAAAAAAACAAGCATTTCTCATTTACAACAGCCTATGTTTTTTCTTCTCCCTTTCACGGCTCAGAGAGCTGCCTGAAGAGGGAGGGAGAATGCGGCTGATCGTATAACTTTTTCATGGTCCACTTTGCTCTACTTTCAAGCCCTAAGTCACTGCCCAAAGCACGCTTGAATAGGGACATAACGACTCAGACACACTCACATACATGCAGCATATTATACACCTGCACATACAGAGGTGTACCGACAGCGATGCGCGCTTGCTATTCCTTTTTTAAGCTGTTGTTCAGAGGTTGGTAATGTTGATCTGTCTGTCAGATGTGAATACAGCTCCATCTGATGTTTGTGGGTCCAAATATCTCAGCAATTATTAGATTATTTGCCATTACATTTAGTGCATGCATTCAAGAGGGTAATGACCAAAGACTTGGCTGTGCCCCATATTCAAAGATATATCTCAGTATCTATATAAAGGATACGTACCAAATTTTGTTCTACCAGGGTGATCATCAAAACAAAATGTAACTTCTGCCAACATATATTGGTTTATAGCAGCATACCTGCAAAAGTAATGATACTCTTCAGCCTGTTAGCATCTTTACCAACACTGACAAGTGCCTTAAGTATTTATTTTAAACTGGTTGTTTTCCATCAACTGGTCGTCACAGCAGTTCATCTGCCTCACCCCATCCCTAGCATCCTCTTCTGTCAAACCAACTCTCTACATGTCCCCTCTCACTTCATCCATAAACTTTCTCTGAGGTCTTTCTCTTTCCCTCCTGCCTGGAAGCTCCATATTTAACATCCTTTGTCCAATATATCCACTACCCCTCCCCTGCACATGTCCAAACCATCTTGCCTCGCTTACTTTGTCTTCAAACTGCTCCGCCTGAGCTGTCCCTATGATGTACTCATCTCTAATCCTGTCCCTTCTTGTCACTCCAAACTAAAATCTTGGCATCTTTAAGCTTAAACCAGTGTTATGACTAAATAGAGCCTCAAAGAGTTCAAAGTGTGGCCACATATTTTGTTATTTCATCATGGGACATTCCTGAAATGACAATTTTAATTAAAAGATGGTGAGTTGTAAATTTGATCGAATATCTTTAGAATTAACTTAAAAAAAATATCGAGTGCACATAAAATGTATTAGTATTGTATGTTATTTCTTAAGGTTCAAGAATGTTTCTGCTGTGCCTGTTGCCAGTGCATGTTCACCTGGGAACTGGAGAAAAATAAATTGAAAGTTATAATTCATCACTGAGCTCCAGGTTCTCCGACATTTAGTAACGCGATCCACTATAAATCAACATGGCAGCACTCAGTGAAGAAATTTCTGCTGAGAAGAGTTGGCAAGTTTGAGCTCATGATAACGACAGCATCAGCTCCGATCACCGGTAATAGAATTGAATGGGCCCATGAAATTTAATTCAAAACAGAATTATGTTTATTTCAAGTAAGCAACGGTGCTTTGGGAGCTGAATGAAGCCTCATTCTGTTTATGGTCATTAAATAAAACCTGCAGGGGCCTTCTGCTTGTTTTGAAATATCGAACAGTAAAGAAGAAAAAGTCAAAAATGCATTAACTCAACACTCCAATTAAGCAAAGACAAAGATGTCTGATGTGTTGTTCCTATGGTAGGAGTCAGCATAGATTAACAGGATTGTCCAGCACGAAGTGGACGAAAGTCTATTAAGCACAAACGTACCCTTCGCAGAAAATATATTTTCCTCTCATTTTTTGGTAGAAACCTTTTTTTTTAGAACTCGCACAAAAGGACAGGCTGATTACGCAGTAAAAGCCTAATCATTCCATCATTGTTCAACTTTTGCTCCACACCTGTGCTTAACTTCCACTTTCATCTCAGCCTTTATTTCATTTGGTAATACCTTCATTCTCCCAGCTTGTGTCCTGACTATTTTCCCTCAGTGCACTTTCCTTTTGCCTTCTTTCACTTACATTCTTGCCAAATGACCTTCCTGTCAAGGAGGCAGACAGGTCTTATTACGCTCATCAAGCACTTGTACTGATGCGAGCGCACACACACACACATATACTATTTTGAAGAATGATGGTAAAATCTTACTCTTCTTTTAAGTTTCTCCGTGACTACAATCAAGTTATCACCATCTTTTTCTTTGCCAAAACACAGCACTCCCAAAAACATGAGAGCTATAATTAAAGTAATTGTTTCAAAACATTTTCTACCTTTTAACTTCTCTGTATCACTGTCAGCAAAAACATCAACACACTCCGTCACCAGCAATGGTGCTTAGAGCTCATCATATCATCCACGATAACAACCCCTAATAATTTCAGACATGATGGAAAAGTGTGCAGAACAACCACATGTCAGCCTCAGATGACAATTTGCTACTTAAAAAAGAAGCTGCTTCAACAACCCCCAACATCTTTCGTGGGAACCCAGAAAACAGTTCCCATGAAGCAAACATGCTTCAAGGCAAAAATCACTGTGGATTAGAACCACACTATGAAGGACGAGGAGCTACTAGCAGCTGCAGATGCGCGACCCAAAGATAAACAACCAAGCATTGCTAGCTACTGATTAGGGCTGAACGATTATGGAAAATAATCTAATTGCGATTTTTTGCCCCAATATTGCGATTGCGATGCGATATGCGATTATTTTTTAAGGTCTTTGTCTTCTGTATTATTAAACAAAGACAAGCAATACATCATATAGTATGGCCAATACTATATTACATTAATTTTAAACTGTTCTTTCCTGGAAGACAGACCTCTGTTATGATGACATGAGGTGATGCATGAATTGATGACTGACATTTTTATTTAACTTCTTCAATCACAACAGTATATTTGAACATACACAATAGTTTATTTTTAGCTTACAAACATCTGAGCATAAAGTGCTGACAAGGAACCCTGGTGTAAACATTAAAATGAAAGTCAGTACAATGTGCAGATTGCAGAAATATACATAAACAAAATCAGTGGCTTTACCACACTCAGTTTTTCGACATCTGTGAACTACTAGACAGTCATTCAATTAAAAAATAATATTAAATAAATAAAACTAATAAATAAAAAATACACACATCTTACTGATCTCTGCAGTCAGTAACATTACACATAAAGTGCAAACATAATAGCAATTGTATAAACACACACACAAACACGCCTTTAAAATTTAAAGGCGTGAAATTGGACGGTCTAGCCTTCTGAATCAGAAGGCTAGTTCTGATTAGCGTCACCGCTGTCTCGGTGGAGTTTAATAAACTCGGCCGTCTGCTTCTTGCTATCTAAAATATAAC